CGTTTGTGTGGAGAGGTGGTGATGTGACACGTGACCGGCCAGGTGGCAGGATGCCGTGCTAGCGTTCGGAGAAAAGAGTGAGGGAAACAACGAGAAGTAGAGGAGAGGGTAGTGGTAGTAGCAGCCATCATGGTCGTCGTCGTCATTACTGTCGTCATCAAAAAAAAAAAAAAAAGGTCATGGTCGTCGTGGTAGGAGAAGTTTCAGTAGTAGTTGTTGTAGACTTAGGGCGAGATGCCACTGGCAAAAACGATTGGAATAAGTGTCTGAATCTGGACGGGTATGTGGAGAGGTGCAAAAACTTGTAATTGATCTGCTATTCCGCATCTCTTCCTGGAACACGTCCGGATTCAGACACTTATTCCAATCCTCTTCGCCAGTGGGATCTGGCCCTTAGTAGCGAAGGAGGATGAAGACGAGGAGGAGATAGGAGAGGGGGGTAAAGAGGAAAGATGTGAGTAGCGCTATGTTGAGCATTAGTAGCGGTATTAGTCTCCAGAAGAAGGAGAAAAGAAGAAGAAAGAGGAGCGAGGGACGGGACGATGGAGAGGGAGAGGTATAAGGGAGGTGGAGATGTGAGAGGTGGAGATGTGAGAGGTGGAGGGGTGATAGGTGGAGGGGTGAAAGGGACTAAAAGGGAAGTTACGTGCGATGGCAGCGTAGAGCCTGGAACCATCGGGAGGAGAAGAAAGGGCTCGCCACATGGAAACGAAAAAAGAATGAATGCATCTTCCTTGGAAATTGGTAAGGTGAATGAATGCATCTTCCGCAGAAATTGATCAGGTGCATCCGTTGTTATTCATAATAAAGGATGCATCTTTGCCATCCTCTACGCGTTAGATTCATGCGTACTTTTTTTGCTTTCGGCTGTTGGTGTGGCGAGGCTCGAGGACACAGGAGGAGAAGGAGACGAGGGAGCAGAATAACGAGGAGGGGACGGGAAGGGAGGAATGCGCGAGGGAGGGTGGGTGTTGATGCGAGTCGCATGTTTCATGTACAGACACGTGGAAGTGATGTACAGACACGTGGCAGTGTGGTCGATGATGGCAAAGGAGGAACGAGGAGAGGGGGACGTTGATGGTATTATGTGCCTCGTCTTCTGTTTTTTTTTTTTTTTTTTTTTTTTTWTYTTCGTAAAAGGAGAATAGATGTGGATTGCAGTGGACAGAAAGGAGGTCGCGTGGGTGGTGTGGTGAGAGTTCAGCTTTGTTATCCTGGGGCTAGGTCCCACTTGCACGAAGTAAGAGATACTGGCCGTAGATAGCAAAGCTCAACGGCGGACATCTCCTAATTTTCGCAAGTGGGACCTTGACCCTGAACAAGGGACGCTGGACTCTGGATTATAACGCAGGTGCAGCTCCCCACCGAAGGAAAGGACGGAGCCATCCAAGAGCGGGAACAGTAGAGGGGGTGTCTGCTCATATCAGCGGGGGTGTCTGCTCATATTAGCACGCCCTCTACGTCGACGATGATTGCGACAAAAGAAAGGAAAAAAGACACCCGAGGCGGATTGTAACGGGCAGAATGAGAGGACAGGATGAGGCGGAAGATAAAATTTTAATTCGTTTTTTTTTTTTTTCGCTCTTTTACATCTGACTGATTGCATTTAGATTCAAACTGGGGTCTGTATTTCAAGACTGCATGTGTGTACCAACTGAGCAAGGCCTCTTGGTGGGAAGATTAGTCTTGTCCCTGTCTTTTGCATTTTGACTCGATTTTCTCATCGATAGTCGTGGACTTGGACTGAACTTGAGTGAATATGCTTGCGTTTAGCTGTCAGATGCATATAGGGAAGGTCCTGTGTGAGCCTCACCAGTACTTGGTCCAGCTATAGGCTGCGGAAAAAAATAGAGTAGAAACGTTTCTAGTTGGATGAATTGGGGGGCTCCTGTAGTGGCCCGTACATTTCCTAAAATCGTGGCCCGTTAACGGGCACCACTTTAGGAAGTACTGGTGGCTTAAACCGCCAGTACCTCTCCCAGCCAAAAAGAAATTGCCTGCCCGTTAACACGGAGGCCGGGGCTGGCCTGGCATCCCGCCCAGATTCATCCTGAATCCTTGGCGCACAGGCTCTGAGGCCAATATATGGGAAAGGTAATGTTTTTTTTTTTTAACTCCATTTTCTCATTTGAAGGTCCTAGACTTGGGACTGGGCTTGACTGAATCTGCCTGCGTGGTGCCAGATGCTTCCAGGGAAGGCCCAATGTGAGCCTCCTTTAAACCAACAGTACTTGGCCCAGCTATGGTAGCCGAGCCTGGAAGTTCCCTGTGCTCTGTTTCCCGCCGAAGCGCCAATTCCATTTTTGTTTTTGGAAAGGCTGGGGCGCCAGCCTTCTAGGTCCGGTTGCCCAAAGCGCGAA